TAAGTAATAACGCCTCTATTACGATAATCAATCACAACAGACTATTTTTTCACGCACGTCCCGATATTTTTTCAATTTGACTGGTGGCTGATGACCAGCAGCAAGTTGTTTGTAATATATTTCTCAGCCCTTCTGCCTTTTGCGGAGCCCGTCAGTTAACTTCCATACAACTGTATTAACTCAGACTCCCGATTAATTAACAGGCGCTCACTCAGCGACCTCGTGCAGTCACCAGATGGAATCATTAAATAAAATGAAAATCATCGGCAGTCACGGTTTAACAAGGAATCGCACTGTAATGGCCTAAAGCTTTCGACAGTCGGGCAATCTGATAGGTAAAGTCAAACAATTGATGTAGATGACCATACACTAGTGACGTAGGTTAAAACTTCTGACCGCTGACTGCGCGCTGATGCACTGATATCGCATAGTCGTCACAATGAAATTGTACTAAGAAATTCACTGATTTGATAACAGCAACGTAAGTTACTTATAGAGAGCTACCCAGTGATGTTTAGCATAATGGACTGAATCACGCAGTTGATACAGCTAACCACTGTCCAGATACACAGATTCAGTGCGGCAACCGCAAAACCAAGCGCTGATACAAACCAACGGTTTGCGTTAAAACGTCCTTCGCCGTTTAAATATGGCCACTGCTTCATAGTGTTTGAGCACCTGCAGTACTTAGAGCATATCGCATTATTCTGTTCGCTAGAGCCACCTCCATCATTACGAACGATGTTTCATTGGCTGGTACTCATTATATGCTATCGCGTAAGCACCAAAATTTATTCGTACGCCGGAGTATATCATTTAACGCATATTTCAAATTTTAACCAGATTTTGTCGCCATGCTCCGACGTACGACGAATATGTTTGATGTTTATCCGGGAGAATACGAGGAGTATCAGTTCCTGAAACATCGGTCGTGATGAAGGCGAGGCTCTGGCGGACAAAGTGATGCGAGATTTATCTGGCACTGCAGGTACTCATGGAACTGTGGCTTGCCTAAGTTCCCCTGGGAACTGAAAGCAAAGGAGCGGTGCGATATTCCGCGAAATTTGGTCTTGGAGGAGTTATGCGTTTTCAGTTAGTGTCTGCTGTAAACGTCTGTTTATTTACACATCATGGTCCTAAGTCACACCGGCGGCGACTGCACGATTGCAGCTTAAATGTTTTAAAATTACATTTGGCCTGCTTACTCA